CCTCTCCAGCACCGCAACTCAAAGACATCAACTCTCCTATCATTCCTAGTCATTGTTCAGCTCTCTGATGCATAGCAAGTAACAGCAAAGACTGCACCTGTATTAGGCACACATTAGTCTCCAGACTGACATCTGTTGCTCTTCACTACTTTGTAGAGGTCTCTGACAGCTGACTTTCCCAGTGCAATTTGACTTTTAATTTCCTGGCTTCTGGTACCAAGAGTGTTGATTGTTGAGCCAAGCAAACTAATGCTGTCAACAATGTCATTCTCTTCACCATCCATCAGGGTTTAGGCTCTACAAAACCAAATTCAAGATAAAAGGGAGCCAGAATTTATTGGTATTAGATAGGAGACAAGACGTCAAATTTGACTGTTAAATTCGTGATCTGCATATTCTGGGTTTTGCTTTTAACCCATTGGAGAAATTCAGGAGATATTTGACCAATCACGGGCTACTCAATGCCTAGTTTCCTTTTTCAGTGGTTTTTAGACCTAATACTACAACTCCCAAAATCCCACGTTCTACCACAATCCCTTTAACCTTCAACCGCGTAGAGTTCTGGGACCAGTAGTCCGCGATCTAGTTACACAAGTTAGAGATAGGGGCCTGTGGAAACATGAAGAGGTAAGGGCTTGTACGAGGAGTAGGCGGCGTGGGGATCTCTGTTCTACCTTTTTATTTTGAAAATGGGTTTCATTAATTTCTCTTTGAGATGCGTCTTTTTCTCAGGGTGCGGTTTCTTGTGAGCGGTTAGACAAAGGGAGAAGGAGGAGGCGACACAGGCGAGACAGGCCTGCAGGGTGAAGTTCAGGAAGGGCGATTATGGGTGTTGGTTTATGTAGGAATGCCTTCTTGGCCCTGGCTTTTAGACCAAATCGCCGAGGCCATAGGAACTGGATAAATGCTATGGCGATTTCCTCATGGGCCCACCCTAGGCAAAGAGGGCTGGCCCATATCCATCACGCGTGGATTCACCCGCAAGCCCTTCCCTGTCTTGTCCTACCTTCCCTTCTTTCTCTCAGAGGAGCTCAGTGTGGTCACATTTGTTTGCAAGCTTTGTGTATTAAGGGAAACTAGCTCGGGCTTCGACAGCGAACAGCGCTTTTCAATCTTACAGTTTAAAAAAAGTGTTACTTTGTTTGTACAAATGTGGAAGACAAACACAAAACGGTTGGCTGTGTTTGGAGACAAACAAAAGCATTGGCTGCCAGCACTCCCCCCTAGTGTTTCAACTGTAAATGGCAGCTTTCATGGAAATGGTCTAGGTTAAGAGCCTGAGCCTCAAAATTACCGAGCATCAAGATTACTGCCAGCATTTTCAACGAATCCTCACTACTTTTGTGTTCATATTGCTAAAAAAATAATCACACTAGACTAGTGTAGTGCGTTTGAAATAGAAATATGCGCTTCCGCTGTCCCTTCATTTTTTTTTTTAAATCCCATTTTCAGATTATTTTCCTGCCTGAGAACCTTTTAGTTTGTTTGTTTGTTTGTTTGTTTAAAAATGTACAATACCTCAGACATGCGAAACAATGTACAGAATGCATACATAGAATAAGCTTAGGAAATAGAGCGTTACCGTATCTGTGTGTCCTTCCCGGATTGCTTCTCCTCCCTTTTTTCCTGAGGTAACCACTAGCCTGAATTTTGCGTTAGTGATTTCATTGCTTTGTGAAATAAAAAAAGTTTTAATATGTTAGCTTATTTCGAACAAAAAAATTTTTTAAACTTTTTTGTCTATTTTTAACTTTATTTAAGTGGACATGGAATTTTTCTGTGACTTGCACTACTTGTTCAGTGTTTCATTTTGATATTCCTCATTTTGAGATTGCTGCATTAACTGGCTTATTCTTGCAAAAGACAGTTTCAATTTAGCAAGCACTTGCTAAACTGCAGGTAAAAATTAAGGTATAAAAAGGCTGAAGGATATTGAAACACTTTACCAAGGCAATCCATGTCTTTTCGACCATGGGAATTTTGCTTATAGGATGTATGCCTTCATAACTCCCATAGTGGAGGACCATTTGTAAAGAAGACATTTAATATTTATTTTCTTTGTGGTGGTTAGCACATGTTTTGTTTGTTTTTTTTTAAATTATATTTTATTAATTTTCATAAACATTTACAGATATTTTGGGCTTCCACTCATTCATTGTTGCACTATTCTCTCTACCCTCCTCCCAGTTTGTTCTTGTCCAAATGCC